AAAGCATTCTTACTTTACAGCGTTTTTTCACACCTGCCTAAAACTTTTGCACAGTACTGTAAGTGTGGCATTGACCCAAAAGTTCTATTTTTCAGAGCAAAGAGCTTGATAAGAGCATTTGTTGCTTACATGCCATCCTGTTCATTGCTTAAATGCCATTTTGGAGGGCCAGTCCTAAAAGAAGGCTGACTGTGGGGGAGTGTTGTAAGGCTTGAAACCATTCAGGGTTAATCAGACAAGCTAAGTACTTTCCACTTCCCTCTTAGGAACTGGCATGAAACAGGCAACCAATTTTTGCTGGCTTGGGATGCTGTCACTCATTAAAAGAAAGTCCCCAATTACCTACTGAAACTTTTCTTGCTTTCCAGGTATCGGAAGATTCCAGGGGACAAATGTATAGGTGGGAAGAATCCCAAACGTAAAGAGACAGATCTGAAACAAAAGTGTACAAGCAACTACTTGAGCTTAAGCCAGTTGGTAGGTTAAAATAAAAAATCTGCTGGAATAGTTGTGGAGGATAAGAGAGGACACTCTAACATCGTCTAAAAAGGGTGTGTGTGTGTGTGGGGGGGGATGCCCTGCAAGTTCATAGTTAATGCTCAAGAAGTATTTTTCAGAATTTTCTGATACTATTAACCTCAGTTTTCTGAAGTTATTGTGATTAAATGAGCTTTGCAGACCAGCTCCTGAAACTGTGACCAGCATTTTGAGTGAGGGAAGCTAATTGCAAAGGGCTTTACCCTTTTCAAAAATAAGTCATTTCTTTTTGCTTTTCCAAATCTCTGCTCCATGCAAGACAAGAGCGCAGGACCTTTTGGTAAGGAAAAATTGAGATAGGCCAGAAAGATCATTACAGAAAGCACTTTGGAACTCTAGTGGTCTTGGGTCTAATAATGTGTCACATAAGCTTTAGATGGCTTTCTGCTTTCTTTCTACAGAATGCCTCTTCTAACTCTACTCCAGTCATCCTGGCTGTAATTGCCTTGATGCTCGTCACTGCTGTCGCCGGAGTAGTCATCATTAAGAAATATGTCTGTGGGGGAAGGTGAGCCTCAGAGTGGAGAATGACAACAGAAGTTTTATAAGGGCTATAGAAAAAAACAGAACAGAGGTATTATGCCCTCTATGATGTGGAAGCAATAGAACTAGACTGAAATGTATTGGTAGCAAAGTCATCCTTATATGAGGAGAAATAAGACATGTGCTCCTATAAACTGGATGTTAGTGATGCTGCTAAACTCTTCCTTTTTTTGTTCTCCTCTCCAAAGCAGTCATTGTTTTTATTTGTTTCCAGAATTGGGCTCTGAGATTGAATGAAAGCAGTGGGAAAGCCTCTGTGCACTTTAAGCCAGCTGATTGTTCCAAATACGAGGCTATGCTGCTGTGAAGAATCTAGAAGAATCTAGATTCAGATCAATGAGAGTCATAAAATTATGGGGGATCATGAGAACCTGGTGGGAAGCTAGATGCTTTTTAAGCTGACAGGCTTGCATCGGCAAAGTCAGAGCACTGACAAAATTCACTCCTGTTTTACCTGGGCAAACTCACAGGAGGTTCACACAGAGCAGGAATAAAGCTCAGATCAGATTTTAGGGAGGTCTGGCCATCTGTCAGAATCATCAGGATCAACCAATCACAGAAATTTTTAATTTTTTAAATTCATTACCTAGTTATATGTGTATGGGGGATAGCTTATCATTTAGGGAGAGCATGATATCACAGAGTTGGAGAACCACTGATATAATGAGAATCACTGTTTACTTGGCCATTAATTTTACATTAATGGCACTGATTCTAGGCTGAGTAACTTCTCTGAACATATTGTTCAGTTTCTATCATTTACTTTTGAAAATATGGCTTTATCCTTTCCACTGTTTATAGTTTATTGTTACTATAAAATAGCTTACTGAAGAAATTGAGTATCAGTAATATATACTAAGGCCTTCTAAAGATCTCTACTTTCACCTCTCTTTAAAGAAATCTGAACTGATTTAACCAAATGTCCAACAGTTCTTTCATCAGTGTTTTTCATACTCCTAGATTCCTGGTTCACCGGTATTCTGTCCTGCAGCAACATGCAGAAGCTAATGGCTTTGAAGGACTTGACATACCTGATGCCAGTAAAATTGGTTACCATGATGATTCTGATGAGGCAAGTGATTGCATCCCTAAGCTTGCATCTTTCTAGGTAGTATTTGTTAGTTGAGAACCTGACAACCATGAGTTGTCTTTCTATACTGTTCGACATATATCAATTTAAAAAGACAGTATGTTTTCTGGGACAATGGGGATAAGAATTGTTTTAAGAGAATGGTTGGCTTACATTTGCCACAGCCAGCTTGAGAGGAATCTTTAATTCAAAATACTAATGTAATTTTTTTGTCTTTTCTCTTTCTGCTCAGGACTTGTTGGAGTAGTGATGTTCTCACCAGGATTGGACACTTCATGGGTTTGGCTGCTGCTGTAGAAGGGCATGAATGCCAACAGTCCATTTTACTTTTGATACAGATGCCTTTCCCATATCCGGAGGATTCTGTATTCCTTTTGCTTCTGTCAAATGTCTAAAATCAGCAGAGCTGCAAGAATTGCATTAGATTTTTAAGGGTGAGGGCAAGGTTCTGTAACTCTGAGGAATGAAGAAGAAAAGCTGTTTAATTTAAATATAATTTTATTTTAACCAGATTTTTCCAGCTCTAAAAGGAGAACTAATAGGAATGTGAAATAAGGATTTCACTAAAGATTAGCATTACTAGGTACAGTGTACTATGCTGCTGGAAGAAGCTTCCAAATTCCCAAACGGGGAACATACTGCACTCCAACACTGTGATAAAATTGCATTGAAGCTCTTTAGTGTGACAGCACTCCTACCAAACAGAGCAATGAGATGCTGGGCAGAGATTGTGGGTATTAACCAGCATCACAATGGGCTGTGTGCCAAAATGCATTTTATTTTTGTTTTCTCTAAAGTGTAATCAAATGGGTAGATGTGTACTGTGTAACGTAAGGATGACTCCAAGGCTTGAATTAAGTCTGTGGCCCAAAATCCTATGATTCCAAGGAACTAAACTGTGAAATCAGCATGTGTACTGCCATAAATTCAAAACAAACTGCACAGCTCTGGATGGGGAAGAGATTATTTTTAAAAATTGTAAGAATAAGCGGTACAGGTCTGTTAGAAATAAGAGTTATTTAGATGGTTACTAAATTAGATACATGAGATCAGTTTCTTGAAGGAAATTTTTGTTACTTGCAGGCAACACTATGAAGTTTTCAATATTTTCCTTTTTACTGTTTTCTTGAAAGCGATAGATTGGTGCTTGCCACTTTAGCACAACTTTACTATTGTGGATTTATGAACCCCTCTGTCTCAGTACAGTTAAACTATTGTAACACCCTTGGGAAATCATACACATGGTTTTCTTTAAACAGAAAGTAATGGAAATTGAATCTTCACAACACTTAATTCAAACCATCTTGAAGTCTAGTTAGAAATTGATCTATGAGAATGCCAGTTGACAGTGTGAAAGCACCCCACGCCTGTAGGCAGCGCGGGATTTATGTGAGCGGACTTCTGCTCTTCCAATGGGACAGCTCCCTCGCATCCCTCGTGCACTTTCCATATGTGCTCTGGGAGGTTCTTTAATCCTCCAAAATATATTTGGGGTGCGTGTAGGATGGAAGGGGAGGAATCTGTTCCACAGGGGAACGTTGTTTGGTCAGTTGCTGAAATACAATTGGATAAAACCAACTGTAGCAATGGTGAGCTTTTTCCACGGATAGTGGAGGGAAGAGCTGCAGTGTACAGGCAGTAATGCACAGTTGCTGAAGTTTAAGGTTTTTTCCCCCCTTAATTTGGGGGAAAATGTTGGGGGGATTCTTTGTTTTAAAAATATTTTAAGCCTATTTTAGGGATTCCACTACAGATATTGTGCGCTTGCCTCAAAATATCAGGAAACCGCCACCAGTTTCAGCTATTGCATTCGGAGTGATAATGAAGCTGCAAAAAACTGAATGGCATGTTGCCCACCTCATTTATAAAACAAATGGGAATCCAATTATTTGCACTCCAAAGGAATTTTCATAGGCGTTTACCCTCAGTTATTGATGATTTTACTTATCCTTTCATTAAAGGACTACACCCACGAGAAGATGTGCTTGTTTCAGATATAATTTCGGTTTCTTTCAAAATAAATAATTGTGATTGACCTTTCCTCATTTGAGATTTGGGCTTGGCAAATGGAACAATTTTTTAAAAATGGCAGAAGAGCTTACTTTTTTTAGTTCAGTTTTAAATCTGGATCCCAGGGTGTTTCACATGATGATGTTCACCAACCTATTTCTTTCCTTCAGTCTTACCTGGAAAAGGGTCGTACCAGCAGAAAATGCCCATTCAAGGTTTCTGCATGTGACTTCTCTCCTTCCCTACCACCACAGCATCACATCCCAGGCACATGGAGATCTGGTGCTTGAGATATACTTCTCAGGGTTATGGTACTTGAGATGCTGCTGTCACAGCATTGGAAACCATAGCTGTTGGGTGGGGGAGTATGCAAAGACTCTGGGCTAAAAATTTATTGGAGGGAACTGAGCTTGCTCGATAATGCAGGCCAGCATTAGAAGGTAAACAAATGCTCGTATTGCACTAAATCAGGTAATTACAAATATCAGCAACGTTACGTGTTACAAAATCTCATCCTGATCTAACATACACATTCCTATTTGCAAATGATCATTTTCGGTATTCTTTGGTGATGAATTATTTAATATTTGTTTCATTAGCATTCATCTTATATTTCATGCAATCACTTAATCTGCTTGAGATGCACAGCTAGCTTGTCACTGGTGACTTGCATCAAATCAGTTAAGATTTATTAGCTGTTCAAAAGCTAGTTGGTACTTCCAGATAGAGTAGGCTCCTAAAGTTATAATGCTTTCCAACTCTCCTTTGGCAGTAATAAAATGAGAGTGAAAAATCCGAAAGCAAGTGGTTGTCTTGAATTTGTCCCCTGTCCCTCTCCATTCTTGTGGCCTTACTGTGGTTTCTGACAAGATCTTTTTTCTTTCCTTGTACCATTGCATAATGTGATTGTGTCCCAGAGTAATCTTTCCAGATTGTTGGTGTAATTTTTAAGATCCCTGATGAAAATATAAATGCATCAACAGGAATACTCCTAAGCAAGAGAAACGGTAGGAAGAAATCTCTATTCCTGGAAGATCTGTTCCACATAAAAAATTCCGCAAGTTATTTTTTGCTTACAGTACAGTATTGGATAATACAGAAGCACAGCTGGTATATGAATAAAATGTGTACAGTACAGTGATGTTCCTTATAACTCATGGTTATCAGATCTTGAACTAAAAGGAGATAATTAGTCCTTTGCTACACTCTAAAACTATTTAAGCTTACTTGTGCATACCTCCTCTGTGTAGAATCAGATTGCTCTACTAAATTGGATGTGATGACTAAAATCTGGTATTGGAAATGTAGGAGAAAATCTGGCATAGAGATAGTAAGACCTTCTCCAGCACAGTGTGTATGTAATAAATGACTACTTCTTCTTTCCAGTATATGTCAACTTTCCCTGCGTACTAAGGCATCTCTGATGGGCTTAGAAAACTTGTTACTGGGTATTTCTCTGTCTCAAGCCTGTGACCTCTTCCTTTGCCTCATTTCTGTTGGCCTTTTTCTCTCTCAAGATAGAGCACATTGACTGATGCAGTGAGAACACTCCAAAAACCTGAAATCTGCCCAGTGAATCAGGAACTCATGACTGTTACACATCTGCTGCCCTGGGCACCGGTAGTCTTCCCCCCATAGTGTTGAATATGTAGATAATGTGACATATTTCTCGCTGTTTTGTAAGTGTTGCCCAAGCAACATAGCCAGAGCAGCAGTGTTGCCATTGCATGCGCTTTGAAGCATTATTGTCTTCCTGATGTGCCTGCAAGGCAGACCATCCTTGTTGCAAAAGCAAGTCTCCGTACCAGCTGTGGGATGGCTGCAGGATGCTATGTAGCCAGAAGCCATTGTTGATAGTCCACCTCTATACAGAATTTCCTAAGATGTACAGTCTGAGGCAACATACAAAAGATACACAAAGGAGCCATGTATAGAGTTTTGTAAATATGCCTGGCTATATTATAAATTTGTACTGGTATTTTTCTGTATATTTGCAATATTTGGGTTAGAAATAAAAAATGGGCTTTTATTTGGATTTTTATGTTGTCTACTTTTACTCTTGGAGTATCAAAGCTCTTGTAGGATTATGTGTACAATTAAGCATCGCTAAGCTCATGTTTTTAGGCTTCCTACGCAATATTCCGGTTGTATATAAGTGAAGAAGCTCTAGTTTCTATCCCTGGTTTGCCTTCCAAGAATATGGAAGGAACGCTACTTCACGATTTATTGTTTCTCTCTCTCTCAATCATTCTGCTCTCCTATAAAGTAGCTCGACCAATTCTTTGGTTTCCCCTGTGAATAGTCCACAAGACCTCTCTATTAGAAAGGTTAAGTCTCTCTCTTGTTTCATGGAAGAAGCTTTTCTTTTTAAAAAGCTATGCTTCAAGCAAAAACAGTTCATGAATAAGAATGAATAGAGGAGCGGAGGGGTGTCATGATGCTCTCTGTTCCACGTGGTTTATATTGTCACCACCCAATAAATCACCAATTCTTTAATGCAGTATTTCTCAACTTTGGCGACTTTAAGATGTGTGGGCTTCAGTTCCCAGAATTCCCCAGCCAGTGTGCTTCCACTCTGGGAGTTGAAGTCTACACATCTTAAAGTTGCTGAGCTTGAGAAACACTGCTTTAATGTTTCACACTCTTCAAATCTAATAGGCATAAGATTAATTTCAAGTCCAGATCAAGTGCAGAGTCACATTTTGAGATAAGCAACCTGGTTTTAGAATCTTATAAACACAGAGAGGTATGAAAAGAGAGTGCTATTTTCAGGCTTTCCAAAAATTGGTTTCAGAAGTATATATAGCTTAGGAGAAGCTGTAATTCTATGGAACCATTCGTCACGATTAACAGGCTAGAAATGGAGTAAGCAACAGTTAAAATCTTCTGACGTTTTAGATGGAACAGTAACTTTTTCTCACTGAAACTTTTAATTTTCTTTGAATATATTAAAGCATAATGCTCCTGTTCAGCATCTTTGGATCGAAATTTCTCATCTGTCCTTCCCAATAAAAAGCTGTAGTTTTATCAGAGCTTCCCTTGTTATATCCTCGTTTGCTCATCTTGCTTGCATGGCAGATAAGACTTTCACTTCAAATACCTTTCATATCTAGATCTCTCCTTTATTTTGCCATTCGAAGCTGAATTGGGTATGCCATTAAAGGCCTGGAGTTTTTAAGGGTCTTCTGGATTAAATACGTTCAGATTAAAACCCTGCAAGATGGAATTACTATTACTTGGCCATGGGTCTGGCTCTATTTCATCTCTGATTTTAGCTTGTGAGAATGTTATAAACCCTCTTAAGGAGCAGGTCTGTGATTTGGAAGTCCTCTTGAATTCATGGCTTCTGCTAGAGCAGCAGGTGGAGATCACAATGATCTTTGCCCAGCATTGGCTGGTGTGCCAGATATTGGGCCACCTTGGACCAGGATGCCTTGACAACAGTGACACCTACTCACATATAGACTACTGTAACATGCTTTATGTAAACATAATATGGTTGTTCTGAAGATGACTTGGAAGCTTCATCTGGTCCAATACACTGTATGTGTGGTGGTTCAGTTGCTAATGGGTAACAGATTTAGCAATGTTGCTGCAATCACTGCACTGGTTATTGGTTTCCATCTGGATCTGAATAGTATTAAAGCACTGTGTGGCTTGCATCTAGATTCATACAGGACCATTTCTTCTGCACATTTGGACTTCACTCTGCAATCTTTAACAGAAGAAATGCCCATCCCACAGGAGATAAGGGTAGTGGCCTGACAACACACCTTCCCTTGCCCTTTGAAACATGTGGCTGTCCAAGATAAAAGGACTTCTGGGCTTTTTAGAAAGCCTTGAAAACATTCTTGTTCCATCAAGAGTTTGGTAACTGATAGTTCTTGGGCTTCCTAGTTATTTCAGATTGGTGTGTTGATTGTTGTTTTTATTGATTATTCTTGTAGTAAGCCACCTAGTCATGCATGTGAGATAGGCAGCTATATAAATCAAATAAGTAAATAAAAATAAATCAACCATCTCAAATCCTTATGAAGTTGGCAGTCTATACACTACCATATAAATAATTTTACCTTAAGTATATGAATAGATCATCAGTGGTTGTGATCTCAAGTACAAATATGTTCAATATTTGCTTTTGGGTGGTATCCAATCACATAATTTCTTAGGTTACAAAATCATTGTCTGATGATTCAGGACTGCATCGGTCCAAGTGACTAATTGAACAAATTACACTGGAATTTTGGAGCAGTTGGTTTTTTAGCTATTCTTGACATAAGCTGTCTGCCTAAGTGCTGTGGCCTGGATCTGATCTACGTGGAATAATGGAATAGCATTTCTCAGTGAAATTGTGCAATTATCTTTTTTTCCCTCCCCTAAAAAAGCTTTACAGTACTTGCCATTTCAATCTAAATAGATTCAAGCAGTTCCAGCATATTAATTCAACTTTCCTTCAAATGTGTTGTCTTTTATCATCACCACTAAATTCTGAAATCATTTCTGCTTCTCTCAGTGCAATGGTACTAGCCTTCAGGAAGTGGGTTTTTTGGAACCTGCTAATTAAGACTTAATATATTTCCATGGTGGTTTTTTTCTTGTTAAAATGTCAAAACTCAGAAAATCAGGTCCGCATCAGTACTTCTCGCTAGCAAAAAGTGACAACTCTGTAAAATGTTTGTGGAAAGACCTGAAGCCTGGAGTCATTACAAACAGAATTGAGGAGATAATCTTTTGAATTTAGGTAAGATTATTGTTCACCCCAAAAGCACCAGCATCTTGTCAGCACAAATATTCTAGTTACTGTTTATGCTAATTTGCATGTTAGGCTCAATATCAATGGCTCAAGTCTTTGGGCTCTTTTTTTTTTTTTAAACCCTATAGCAGTAGTGCTACTTTAGTGATCTACTTCTTAAAAACCTAATCATAATAATGCTCAAATTACTAGAGCTCAGCCTTTCATCCAATGAGGGTGCTACTGAGGCTTGGTTTCATGTTTTTCTGAACAGCTTTAAGGCCCAAGTAAAGATCCCCAAATTCCATACCTTCATTAGCTGCCCAGTGCTTGTGGTCCATTGTTAGGATCAAGATGCAACTGATCCTTCTTCCCCACAACTGCCTTTTTGTAGTTATTTTCCATGTGAGAGTTTTATTGTAGAGAGTTTTATTGTCTCTTCTCTTGGCACTTAACTTGTGCTGCTCCTGAACGCTCCTTCCTCTGTCCTTCCCCAACTCTTTTGTTCAGCAATCCATTTTTGAAACAGATTATTTCATCTTTCCCCTGAAACTGGTACAGGAATTGAGTTTCGAGCCATTGAGGATTATCAGCTTTGAAAAATGACTCATTACATTCCAGTCGGAAGACCAATTCCTATTTCCAGATAATGAAATGCATGGCTGTCTATAAATGAGCAGCCTGTCTGCTTGTGCAAATGAATGCGTGCCACCGATAGGCAAGTTTTCCTTAGTAATAACTGTCAGCAGCAACGAAGCAGCATTTCCATCTGGGGGCATGCATGTGTGTATGCACATTTTGTTGTTCTTTAAAGAGAATATAAATAAGTCTGTAGAGCACTGTTTCTCAGTCTTGGTAACTTTAAGATGTGTGGACTTCAACTCCCAGAATTCCCATTCTGGGAGTTGAAGTCCACACATTTTAAAGCTGTCAAAGTTGAGAAACATTGCTGTGCAGGTACTGAAAAGTGAATGCAAGTCATAAAGAAATTGCTCCTGACCAATGCAGCAGAACCTGCCTACCTCTTGGCTTTCTTCTAGTGGTACCTAGCCCACACACCAGCAGTGAGGTAGGAGTCTTTGACCAGTGTGTTGTTAAATTATGAGAACAAACAGAATTATTCTTTTTCAAGTTAATACCAATGAGACTGATGAACACAGTTCTCTAGCATGACATACTTTTTGGTAAAAAATGTGATGTATTAAAACCAAAGGGTGGTAGAAGTTGTAGAAACAAGTTTAGAATAGATGCCAAGTGGCCCATATTGGACTACCTCATATATGATGTGTCTCTTACAAACAATGCATTTCTTGATAGAAAAAGTATATGATGGTCTATTGTGTGCTATAATTAAATACCAACATTAAGTATATTCCGCATACATTTGCAGGACTCAAGGGTCTGAATATAGTACAATGGAATTTAGTTCTTGTTCGATGATGCAAGGTATAAAAGTGATACAAGATACTATTTAAGAATGATACAAGAGTAAAAATTTAAGTCCTATTAATTCTATGTTTGACTAATTTTGGTGCTTATATTTGACTAAGATCTAATTCTTTAGGGATACAATTACACATAATTTTAGGCTCCTATGGATGTTGGAAGGTTGATTTGATCAAGTTAATGAACTGAGCACCCAATTTCTAGGCTCCAGAGCACATTCCCAACTCTGTTTTCTTGCATGAGCATCAGACGCTATTTTTATTGGAGCCAAACAGCTGGGTGAAGTAATGAGACCCACCCTAATAGTTTGATTGGAGGCACTGAAGTGAAAGTCACTTTTCCATGTTGCATTACCACTTTGTTCCAGAAATTGGAGTTGGAATGGCTCTGTGTAAAGCCACACCACTTCAAACCACCCCAGCTGTAGTTACAGAAGGAAGGAAAACCAAGGAATGGTTGGACACACTGGGTATGGTCAGCATGGAGAAGAAAAGGAGACAGGAGACATGATGCCTGTCTTGGAGTATCTGAAGCATTCTCATGTAGAAGACAGGACAGAATTGTTCAATATTGTTTCAGAAGGCAGAACAAGAAACTGGGATTAAATAACACGGAAGTATATTTTGGTTGGACATCGGGAAAAAATTTCTAATGGTAAGAGCTTTTCAACAGAGGAACAAATTGTCTTGTGAGGTTGTAGAATCCTCTTCATTGGAAATGTTTTAACAGAAGCTGGAGTGCCATCAGTTGGAGATGCTGTAGTGCTAGATCTTTAAGTCCTATCCAACTCTTATATTCTATGACGCTCTATTCATGAAATGTATGTTTAGATATTTTTCTCTTTGAAGTATTAACTTTGCATTGACCCATAAACACAAAAAGTTCAGTGAGTCAGATTCAAGCCAGATTGGAATATACCATATAGTAGATCTTAAAATGAAAAATAGCCTATGCATCTTAATTAAAAATAGCTGAAGAAATATTGTGGAATGGGGTGAGTAGATAGAAATGAAACAAAAGCGCTCTTGAAAAATCCAATACTTCATGAATATTGAGGTACAGTTTCACTACTGATATTATCCCAAATTCTGCTGTTTTGAGTTCATTTCACTATCACCTTTTTTGTTTTCAGGGGAAGAAGGAAAGCTAAATTATTGGTAAGCTGCACGGCAGATAAGAACTCCTGCAACTATGGCCTCCAATACCAGTTCAAGAAACAACACCAGCTCTAGCCTGAGTGAACTTTTCCTGTCCTACAGCAAGACAGTGTTTATTGTTTTTTATATTGTCTTCTTCCTCTTGGGAATTCCGGGGAACATCTTGTTGCTCTCTGTACTCATGAGAGGTCTCCAAAGAAAAAGTGGCAACCACATCTCACGCTTGACTGAACTCCTATACATCAACATAGTAGCTCTTGATCTCCTCTTCTTCCTCTACAGCCTTCTGGTGATGTCTGGCAGATCCATTCTCAAGAACTGGCGCTTGAGTCACCTGCTGTGTGTTGCTAATCATAGCTTGTCCTTATGGATCTCCTTTGCTGACTTCTATAGCATGTTGGCTATTTCTCTGCTCCGCTATGCTGCTATAATCCATCCAATGCAAGTGATATCCATTTCCCCGAAACAAATAGTTAGGGCTTCTGTGTTAATTTGTATAGTTTGCCTCTTGTTCACCACTCCTCTTTGGATTCATTATGAAATTATTCCCCTGGAAGGGGAAATATTTTGTGTGAATCAAGTGGAAAACAAAGAAATGATCCTTTATTTAAGGCTCCTGGGAGGGATGGGGTTCCTGCCTCCCATGTTGTTGATGATGATCTGCTACTCAAGGATCATCTTCACCCTAAGGTTGAGGAGAGTAATATCTATACACGCAGCTGCTACCTTGCACATTAATTGGCGAGCTACAGTAATGATTTTGGTCAACTTGGTGGTACTTGTGATCATGTGGCTTCCATACTGGCTAGTGATTTTCTTCATCAGGTATGAAGAGTTGTTAACCACAGCTCATAAGTACATAGCATATCATTTAACATTCTTCCTGGCCTTTGCAAATCGCTGTGTTAATCCATTTATCTGTTTCTGTTTCTCCTCCCAATTCCAAGCTAGGTTGAAGAATCTCTTTCAGAGGGTAAGGAAGAGACAGAATCAACTAAGCACCATCCACCTGGGCAGGATAGATGTTCTGCGTAGCACACCATAAGGCTTATGTTATATAAGCCTCACCAAAGATGTGGGGCTACAATATTATTGCCAAGCTGAAAGGTCCCTATGAAACATTCACAAGAGCTGACACAATCTGCACCAGTTTAAAATATTTACTTGGTTTCTTCATCTGGGAAAAGATGGTAGTTCCAGAATACCCTTAGTTTGTTGGAGTTCTAGTTGCTTTATTCCCTAAAAGAGCTGAAGGAACAACTGCTTTTTAATTTCATTATTGATTCTAAATATGGTTTCTTATTGAGCCATGTTATTCTACCAGTAACATATTTTACTGCAACTGGAGGGAGTTGCTCAGTTTGAATGTCTCTAGATAGCTTTCTTCCTGCCTGGACTTCAAAGTGCTGCTTTTGCTTTGGTTATTTCTGAGTTGTTTGTGTACCTTTAATTGGACACTGATTCATTCCCAAGGAATATTACATGTTTGTTCACTTCAAATGGTTCTAGTTGCAACAACAGAAAGGGGTCTCTAGAGGCAATATTAATTGCATTGAAGCTTCTGCACTGAGGATTGAGTCCCTGGAATAACCTTTAATATTTGAGTTGAGAAATCTAGTGCCTTGCCAAATAGGCTAATGAAGTCTCAGGAAGAAAAGTTCTCTGGAGTGAAAGGTATTTGTCATCTTTCCCATAAGAGCCATAATTTGAGCCACTATTGCAAAGGTGGGGAACCAGCATCTCCTGTAGCAAACCTACAATGAAACCTACAGTCCTTCAGGTTACCCCTAAGACCATTCCCCCTCACATCCACATCTCCATCTCACATTAGTCCAATTGCAGAGCTGATGATGAAAGAGATTGCCTAGGTTTAGATCTCTTTTGTTGCTATTGCCGCACACGTATCTGTCCACATCTCTAAATCTGCCCACTTTGGGCTCTGGCTATAACCAGTCATGGAATGAAAGTCTAAGGAAAAAGAGAATCTTCACTCCTGAGAAATATAGCTACCACCCCCACCTAAAGCTTCCTAATGTGAGCTAAGATGCTTTAAAAATGTTTGTACCTTTGTATGATTATAGTGACTATTTCCATCCATCTTCATGACAAAGAAGCAGTAGCTCCATGCCTAGTTCAAGGGGAATGAAAAATACCAATAGCTTGGGCAGTGAACAAGACAGAAAGGGCTCCAGTCTGGAGAAGGCTGGAATAACCCATCTAGGATTTTTTTTTAATAGTAATTTTAGTGAAAATTACAATACAACAGTAAAAACTAATACAAACCAGAGAGAGAGACAGAGAGACAGAGAGAGACAGAGAAAGAAGAATAAACAGAAAAAAATAGAAGGTGCAGAAAAGAAAAAAAGAAAAAAGAGAAATAGAAATAGAAATAGAAAAGAAAGAAAAAGAAAAAGAAAAAGAAAAGAAATATATAAAGAAGTGATTTATTTATCTATAAATAAATCCATAAAGCCTTGTCATTTCAGTCCTGATGTCATCAAAAGTCCATTGAGGGTTACCATAGATAACAACATATCTATTTTAACCTTGATCAAATAAACTAACTTTATATTCTTTCCTTTTACTTCTAACAATCTTGATCTTAAGTCCCTTCAAATAATGTCATAAAATTTGATTTCCTTTTGTTTTTTCTTTGTTCCTTCTCACAAAATTCTTCAAAACTTTAACAAGCCTCTTTTGTAAATCCAATAGAGGAAAATTATCCAGGTCATTCTCTTGGTTTGTTATTTGTATATCCCTTT